ACCTGAGCGCTCACGCGGTGTCAGAACACAAAGAAATCAGAAGTATTCACATCGACGTCCCTTTAAACCGGGACAACACCGCGCTGTCGTTTAGCGGACGACGTCCTGGGTTTACTAAAGTTAAGGAATCTTTTTTTCATTCATACTTGTAAGGTCGTCACAATGTGCGATATTTTGTGATACCAGGTGTTTCAAAACGATTCAATCAAAAGGTGTTTCTTTTTTATAAAACAGGTGAGCAGGACGAGAATGAATCCATCAAAACAATTGTGAGCAAACTCCTGCATAATGAAATGTTGCCAACGTATTTGAATGATTAAGACAGTCAGGAGCGTCTCCAGAGGGGAGGCACGGGGGCCGCTGGAAATCTGATTGGCCACCCCAAAAATCCTCAACTGTGATTGGATATTTTCCTTGTCAGAAAAAAACTAATCTGGCTATTTTGCAAAAGGCAGCTGATTTAAGTACATTTTGTTTGTATTTTAAATTGTAAATAAAAACTTCTATCTCTCTACTGGTAGCTCTTCTTCCTACATGAACTATCAAACCTCTGCAGATGATCCAAAACAGAACATGTCACTCTACTGTTCATCTCCTTACACTGGAGTGTAAGTTACTGCTCCCATCAAATTTAAAACTCTGCTGCTCGCTTACAAAATAGCAACAAAAACTCCTCCTTACCTAAACTCTATAATCCAGGTCTACACTCCCTCCCGCCCACTACGCTCTGCCAATGAAAGACGTCTGATCCAAACATTTACAACAGGGTCTAAGACTCTAACGAGACTCTTCTCCTCTGGAGTCTGGACACGCCCCTGTAGACCGTGTGCAGGAGTTTTCCTGCAATATTTTAAAATTCAAAATATGAAATTACCCAATATTGGGTGTTAAAGACTTTGTTGTTGTCGCATTAATAGAATTAAATTTTTACTAGAATCGTATTAAAGTTTAGGAGTCTGGTATCATGACAACACTGCTGTGTTTAAGAATCTGAACAGCTGCAGCATTCGAGCATTTAGCTGAAAACAGTCCAAACCACAGATTCAGACGTCGACTTTGACACACCCTGTTTTGATTTTTCTTGTTTACTCTGCAGATGAACTGAACCTTGACGTCCTTGTTGTTCTTGGTGAGGTGTTGCTCTGTGTCTGATTTTAACGCAGTGACAGTGAAGGCAGCAGATGTCAGACGAATGCAAGATGAGAAGAAACTGGGCATGCAGAGAACATGCAGAAACGCAGCAACTACAAGCTGAGATAAGAACGCTTTCTGGATATATGTGAAGTTGGATTTGAAAGCTTGGAGGATGCTTAAAGGTCACATATTATTTAAAATCCTCTTCACCATGTTTCTCTAACTCTAACATGTGTCTCTAGTCTACAAACCCCCCAATGATGAGAAAAGTCCATCCTCTCCGTCTTCTGCTCCACTTTTCAGAAAATGTGTGCTCAAACAGGCCGTTTGTAGATTTTCTCTTCATGACATCACAAAGGGCAGTAGCCCCTCCCCCAGGTGGGTGACACTCCCACAGCTAGGTGTTTGTTCTGCCCTCTGAGTCTGCCTTCTCACCGTAAACAATAGGACATGGAGCGAGAAAGACAGAGTACACCCAAGTCCTTCCAGAGAGGGGGCGTGGTCAGACACAGCTCATTTACATATTTAAAGGTACAGACACAGAAACAGCCTGTTCTGAGCAGGGCTGAAATAGAGGGGTTTATAGACATGATCAAATACAGGATCAGAGTGGATTTAGAACAAGAAACTTCACACACATGTTTTGAGGAGCTCTGACACTTATTTAAACTGATTGAAGAGGAGGAGACATTGTGACATTTAAGAGAATACTCTTATGAAGATAAAATGTGTCTTCAAAATGTAGTTGTGCAGAAACACAAAGTCAAGTTATCACTTTGTTGCAGATTCTGGCCTGTTGTTAGCACATCTTAAGTAAAAATTCTGAACTGGGCTAAACTTAATAAAAATAATAAAAATGGCAGTCCCCTCCTATCTTCCTAAGCGCAATTCAAACTACATTTAAAGTTGTATACATCAGTTTTAGGCCACATGGTGACGGAACAATCTGGGCATCATAAATATATTTCGTCTATGTGTTTATAACGTACTTGATGCTACTATCAACCATCTGCATGCTTTTACATCCAGGAGACACAGGTAACAATCACTTAGGAGTTCCTCAGGGTTCTATTCTTGGTCCTATATATATTATACTTTATCAGAATCGTATCCAAGTTCAAAATTCTGGTTTCATGACAAACCTTGCGCCGTTTTCATATATGCACTGCTGGAAATGTCTAGAGAATTTCAGGAGGACTGCCCCACGTCTGATCTGGTTGTTCACACGTGCAACTCGTGGTACGGGTATCGTTAATGTTTGGAGACAACTAGAATTATTTCGAAGGTTAATTATGTGGTATCGTGATAACCGTAGTAGAGTATAAATGTTGTTTAACAAAAGAAACATCTAGCTGCTGGAAACACTGCGATGGAACCAGACTGGAAATATTCAGGAAATCCAAAACTCGAAGGCAAAAGAGGATAAAAAGCTCCGTAGAGCTACACAGGTGTTGTCAGTTCTCTTTGGATTTTGATCTAGCGCAAAAGGCTAACACTTAGCTTGCACTAAAAAAAAAAACTTTGATTAGTGCAGCTCTGGCTTCTGTTTATTATTTGTTACTGAACGTTAAATCTTTTGCTCTGCAGGTGTCATCAGCAGGAGGCGGGGCTACTGACATCATTAGATCACATGCTGCACTTCAAGGTTATCCAGCAGGAGAGAGAGAGAGTGATAGGAGGGGGGTGAGAGAGGTGAGTGGTGAGGAGGAGGAGGAGGAGGAGGAGGAGGAGGAGGAAGGTTTCTGTGAGCAGACAGTCAGACATCAATGTCAAGCGTTTCTCTCTGTAAGAGGAGGGAGGGGAGGATTCTGGAGGAGGGGAGGTCATGCATGTTTTTTTTTTTTTTCTTCTTCTCCCCCTCCCTCCATCATTCCGGTGTGTTAGAGGGCAGGTTTGCGGGCGGAGAGTTTTTGGCAACGCATGTTAAAGCGACACACGGTTTTAAAGGTGCTGGGGGAGGCGCTGCTGCCGCGGCTCGGCTGCTGAGACGTTGGAGTGGTGAAGAAGAAAACGTCTCAAAGATTCAAAAATAAAACATGCTGTTAACGAGCCGGCTGGTTTCAAACATTAGTCAAACACTCATTAGTAGGTGGCTGCGGCTCAAACACAAGGTTCATATCTTCATATCATCAGATATACATCAACAACACATCAATGTAAATGTAGCTGAAACAATTCAGACTCAGCGACTAGGCCTAAACTTCAGGAGCCGAGTGCACCAGCTGGGCGCACCTCAAACTTAGAGCTGAAACCTACGACCAACTTGCACCAGTTGGACTTTAGCGTTTACCTGTTTGTTGTTGTAACTTTTCGACTAAGATGGAGCAGGCGTGAGTCAGAATATTGGACTAATATCCGAGGTAACACAAAAGAAAAAGTAACGGTCAGGAAACTGTGACGGCATGCCATCTTCTTTAAAGCATGACCAATGAAAAGACGTTTAGACGAAACGCGGCGCTGTCTCTGCCCTGCAGGTGCGGCTCTTTTTTAAACGGCCAGCTGGTGCACTCAGCTCGCAGACATTGCTGCGATGATCTAAGACATTCCTTGTCCCGTGATACCTTGCATGAATTACAGGCATGTCAGCATTAAGAACGCAACAGGCTGCAGAGTTTAGGTACAAGATTTTGGTGTTTGCAGCTGCTAACCAATAAGAATAAATGTAGACAAAACAAAGAGGGATCATTTTTAATTAAAGGAGCAATATGTAGAGAGTGAGATGATAAAGGTATCTTACTATCTGATCAGACATTAAGGAAACATGCTATGTTGAAGTGCTGGCTTCTCTGACAACAATGCAGCAGCCAGTATGTCCTCCTTCTAACTTTAGATTCTGCTCCTGAATGCTCTGGATTTGTTTGGACCAGAGAAGGTAGGCCCTTTAAGACACCCACACAGCGTTTTGGACGCCCCTCGGTTTGTCAGATATGAGAGCAGTTATCAGGTCAACAGGTGTTGCAGCGATGGAAGCGGTCAAGAGAAGTGGTTCAGATAGAAGTGATTGTACCCGACCTAAAAAGCCTCTGCATGTTTCTAATAAGCTCCACGAGCAGAAACGTGCTCAAACTAGGATCAATATTGGAGATGCTTTTGAAAAATGGAGAGAGGTTAGAACACAGAAAGGTTTACAGACCCATGCAGAGCTGGATAAACACTGAAGCTTCAGAGTCCACCACATGGTGACCTGAGTGAGCATCCACTCTAGAGAGGAGGGGGGGGGGGAGACAGCTCTCTATGATGTTTAGAATTTAGACTGCAGTACCCATTTTAAACACTAGGGGTCAGAGTTACATACTGCTCCTTTAATAGGCCGATGCTTCAGCTTGTCCTTCCATCGCTCTGAACTTCAGAAGGCGACAGATGAAGACACCTGCAGAAATCCTGCAGCTGGAGTATCTTCAAGTAACACAATGAATTCATGCAAGGCATCATGGGAGGAGAACCTTTGTGTTACACACCTGGCTGAGCTGATTCAGGTATCTGATGCTGACGCAGAGGAGCAGAACTGAAATGAAACACTCACCCCTCTGTCTCGAGACTTCGAGTTGAACTTCACCGTCTTTAATCTCGCTCTCTCCTTCTTCTCCACCCTGAGGTCAAAGAGGACAGAAGGTCAGAGGTCATTTCGATGATGGACTCATGGGCAGGAAAACAAAAACATTCATTATAACTGATTTTGACCCGACATGTCCAGCTGATATAAGAGGGCCGGGTCCAGGTGAATAGAAACAACGTGTCGGGGTAAAAACGTTGCATTGCCTACTTTACTTAATGAGTGTGTCCCTCACCGTCTCTTGCTGGGGATCACCCCCACCTCCTCCACCTCCCCCTGAGACGTCAGCTGTCGGGCCTGCCACCACTCGTCGTCGGAGGCGTTCACCACGTGAAGGATGTCCCCGAACTTGAAGTTGAGTCCCTGACTCGGCAGACCCGAGTCCCGAGTCTTATCGTAGTCAAACAGAGCTCTGCACAGACAGACAGACAGACAGACAGACAGACAGACAGGCAGACAGGCAGGCAGACAGACAGAGAGACAGAGAGACAGACACAGACACAGACACAGACACACACAGACAGACACAGACAGACAGACAGACACAGACAGACACAGACAGACAGACAGGCAGACAGGCAGACAGGCAGGCAGACAGACAGACAGACAGACAGACAGACACACACACACACACAGCAGTTGAAGCAAAGAATCAAGAGAAACAAACATGATAATAAATAATTGCATTTTGTCCCCTCTGGGCCTCCATACATCACACCCTCTATGCGCTCTGATCCGTGAGCCGTGATCTCACCTGACGTAAAGCGACCTCTTCTGACTCGTCCGTAAGGATCCAGAACCTGAACTGATGCTGCTGTTCATCATCTGCTCCCGCAGGTCGTGGATCTTCGCCTCGAACCTGCTGTACTCTGAAAAACAACGAGGACACGGAGGTCAGATTAAGAGTCGAACAGAGCGGAGCTTCATGAGGACATCTTTAATGGACTAAACGCGTTAATCCAAAAACACAAATATAAAATATAAAAAGTCCAGACTTTTAGTCAGACTCTTTTAAAAAGATTTGAATGGATGTTTCATTTCCCCAGGTGATCACACTGCAGGTGTCCCGATGTCTCACCCTCTGGTCTGTAGTGGGCGATGATGGTCACCGTCTGCCCGGCGTTCTTCAGGGCGGCTGCAGCCTGTTCGTGAGTGGCGTTACGGAGGTCAACGCCGTTCACCTGAGGACACACATTTATTTATTACGGATGTTTTTGACACTGATATAGAAATGAGACAAAAGCTATGTTGTGTTTATGTTCCTGCTCTCTCCTGCTACACGCCTGACGCATGATCTGAACATGATTTCCCTCTACAGCCCGGTGTGTGTGTGTGTGTGTGTGTGTGTGTGTGTGTGTGTGTGTGTGTGTGTGTGTGTGTGTGTGTGTGTGTGTGTGTGTGTGTGTGTGTGTACGTACAGACACCAGTCTGTCTCCTTTCCTCAGCTCTCCACAGAGGTCAGCTGGTCCTCCTGCCAGGATGAAGGAGATGAAGATCCCCTCTCCGTCCTCTCCGCCCACGATGTTGAAGCCCAGACCCGTCGCTCCTCTGTGCAGCACCACCTTCCTGGGCTCCCTGTTGGACCACACAGCTGTCAATCACCACATCACAGCTGTCAATCATTATGACATCACAGCTGTCAATCATCACCACATCACAGCTGTTAATCATTATGACATCACAGCTGTCAATCATCACCACATCACAGCTGTCAATCATCACCACATCACAGCTGTCAATCATTATGACATCACAGCTGTCAATCATCACCACATCACAACTGTCAATCATTATGACATCACAGCTGTCAATCATCACATCACAGCTGTCAATCATCACATCACAGCTGTCAATCATTATGACATCACAGCTGTCAATCATCATGATGTCACAGCTGTCAATCATAATTACATCACAGTTGTCAATAATCACCACATCACAGCTGTCAATCATAATTACATCACAGTTGTCAATCATCACCACATCACAGCTGTCAATCATCATGATGTCACAGCTGTCAATCATAATTACATCACAGTTGTCAATAATCACCACATCACAGCTGTCAATCATTATGACATCACAGCTGTCAATAATCATGATGTCACAGCTGTCAATCATCACCACATCACAGCTGTCAATCATCACCACATCACAACTGTCAATCATTATGACATCACAGCTGTCAATCATCACCACATCACAACTGTCAATCATTATGACATCACAGCTGTCAATCATTACGACATCACAGCTGTCAGTCATCACCACATCACAACTGTCAATCATTATGACATCACAGCTGTCAATCATCACCACATCACAACTGTCAATCATTATGACATCACAGCTGTCAATCATCACCACATCACAGCTGTCAATCATTATGACATCACAGCTGTCAGTCAACATGCTGCTGCGTGAAGATGAAGCTACAAGTTGTGTGTTCATCAGTACAGGAGGCAGAGAGTGTGTTATTGCAGGTTAACACCAGCAGAGGGCGAGCACACACACACACACACACACACACACACACACACACACACACACACACACACACACACACACACACACACACACACACACACACACACACACACACACACACACACACACACACACACCACCAGTTTCTAAATGACCGTATGTTGCTTTAAGACAAATTTATGACCTTGAATATTAAAAATCAAATGTAAGCCCTTTCAAGGAACCATGCAAACCCCCCCCCTCCCCTCCCCTTCCCCCTCCCCCTGTCTGCTGTCAGAGGGAGAGAAAGTAAAGGTTAGTCCTCACCGTGTGACATCATCTTCTCCCAGCATGCTCTTCGGGGTCGGGGAGTAGCGTCCCGAGGAGGCCGGCGGGGGGAGGGGCTGACCCAGGAAGTTGGGGGGGCTGATATGGTTCTCCATGTGCTGAGAGTACGCTGAAACACAAACACAAACAAAAACAAGTTAAATATTAAAAGTTAGAAAAATAAAATCCAGAATCAGAAAATAAACACACACACGTCCTCTCAGAGTGTTTCAGCGTCCGGTCCTTCAGTGTCTCTCCGTCTGATCACACACACACACACACACACACACCTGCTCAGACCCTCCTCTACACTCACCTGTCGGCCTCCTGTTACGCTCTGATTGGACGAGGAGACGTCGAGGGGGATCGTAAACTAAACTAGTGAGCGAGAAACTCGACCTGGACTGTCTCTGAACATGTGTGGACATTTAAAGTGATCATCTTCATAGATTTAAAAACATTTTCACTAACAGACAACAGGAGCACATACAGGAAGGGCCTGACTTTATTTCAAAATAAAAGCACACAGCAAGTAAAGTACTCTCAGCTTAAGACAGAACAAAAATTCAAAATAAGAGCCTAACAATTTTTACATTGAAAAGAGAAATAATGGAATTTAAAACGTGCCATTTGGCGTTGTTGACATGATACATCATCAGAAGCGTGGACTCAATTTTAGGACTTCTAATTTTATTTAGTGTCTTTTATTTTGCATTAAAAAATGAAAACCTGTTGTATCCATGGCAACCTGGCTAACTTTAACAAAGGCAGAGGAAAATGAAAGTGTGACCATTGGGCCTGATGTCTATTGAACCCCCCTGTCCCCTCCCCCGTGGGAGGTAAATGTGCTGATCATATGATAACTGAAGCAGTGCATGATGGGATATCAGCAGCATCATCACAACAATCCTCCATGTTTGTTGGGAGCACACTTAACTGAATTACTTCTCATCCATTACCCCCGGCTCAGATCTTTTTCTGTGCACTGTGGCAGGACGTCATTATACATATTACTGCCCCCCCGCCCCGCCCTCCTCACCCCCCCCTCCTCTCTGTTTCTGGATTAGCCTGAACAGCAGTGACAGCAGCCGGAGTTTCTGATGCAGCTTGCCACTCGCTGATTGGATTTGCTGCTCGTCCTTCACGCGACACAACCTCGACGCGCGCGTGTGTGTGCATGTGCGTGTGTGTGTGTGGAAGGGTGTGGGGGGGCAATGACAGGAGGACGAAGACGATAAGTAATGAAGAAGAAGAGAGGGGGATGAAGGGCATATATGACACCCTGCAGATGTTGAAGGTTCTTAATAATGAACGCATCAAAGTACAGACTGTGGTCGTCAACACTCTGAAACCATTCTAATAAAAACTAAAACGATATCGACACCTGTCACCACCGCAACAAAAATAGAAGTCCAAGACACCAAATATTGGAAACTTTCTCGTTTTGACTTATTGAAATGAACGTATTTGTGGATATTAGAGGACAAAAGCCTGAGCGGCGTCCCCCGTCTGTCCCTGCAGGGGGCGCTGGAGTCCCATCGATGGCGGTCTCCATGCTGGAAATGCTGTCTCAGTCTAACTTTCAGTCAACCTAACGACAGGCTGAGAGCTGGAGCTGAGGCGGGTTTTAAACCTCCTGACAAACCGTTACACCGCGCCCACCTGTCAATCAGGTCAGCTACACGCCTTATTGTGAATAACTCTTATCCTTCATCAAATCAAAACTGATGAGTCATCAAAACATTCACCCCCCGTACAGTGTGTGTCCATCCAGACATGAGCTAATCACACCTATTTGGTTTTTTGAACCAGGCTGTAAACATGTTCATCTCTGCTGTAAAAACAGGCGTTTTAGAATGGGTGTGTATGTGACTTCCTGTGCTTCTGCAGCCAGCCTCTAGTGGACACTCGAGGAACTGCAGGATTTTACACTTCAGCATCGGCTTCATTGTTCAACACTGGAGGTTGCAGCTTGGTTAATAGTAGTTAAAGGGTGAAAGGAACATTTTCATTTTTTCATTCTGGATGAAAATATCCGACGGCCGTCTTCACACAAACATCAGGCTGCTTCTCTTTAAATCTGTGTGTATCTGTGTGTTTTACACTTTATGGTCAGAGTGTTTAGAATCTCCAGTGAAGCTTCACAGCGGCTGACAGAGACACTCAAACTGCTCACAGTGACTCCAGACGTTCAAAAACGTGATTAAAACAAGGACAACCACTCACCGAACACTGAGTTCTCTTTCTGCCCCACTTCTCAACTCTCTAAAATAACTTTTAACGAGCTATTAGGACTTGAAGTATAATGATACATAAAAACTCCATCATTCTCGTTCTCACTCAAATATTAAAGCTGCTGAATTATTTCTACAAGAGTGATGTTTTAATCATAACCTGCAAAAAAATTATTAATTTACAGCCGACCGCAGACCAAAAATTATATAAACATTGAAACCCGCTGTCCACCGATCTTCACGCACGATTCCTGCAGACACCAGAGCTCCCAGTCTGACTCTGCAAACGTAAACGACAATGGTTTCTGATTGGCTGGTCAGTAAACTGTGTTCTAACCTCCAGAGATAAAAAAACAAAACAAGCTGAGGTATATGTGTCAAAAACTGCAGTTCCTCCAGTGTCCACTAGAGTCTGTCTCCTGCAGTGAGTCAGTCTCCATAGAGCTCCATGTTAAAATAAACATGTTTACATCCTGGTACAAAAACAGTTTGGGTCTCTGGAGCTCATTTCTCTCTTCAACTGTACGGACTGAATGTTAAAACAACTCACCTGTTTACATTATATTAAGACTTAACAGGGATATATAATTAGGGGGTGTGGCCTCTTTGAGTGACAGGTGGGAGCTGCTAGCTGTCTGCTAGGTGCCAGGTGTCACCTCAGCTAATTCAGTCACTGACCTTTAACCAGGTCTGTTAACGCCATCACCAGAGCGAGGTGCAGCTTACAGCAGGAAGACAACAACTCAAGTTCAGTTGTTTCTAAGGCTGGTTACACACCAGACAGCTTAAGGCAAGATTTTGGGCCCGATTAGATAACATCCAACTTTTGGGGGGAGGTGGTCAGGTTCAGAGAGTATGTGTACATGTTGTAAGTCCCAGCACTGGTCTGGCATCTGTCCAACATCTATTTCAGTCGTTTTGAGGATCTGTTTGCGTTCTATTAAAACCTTAGATTTTTTTTTTTTGACAAATAATTTGGTTTCCAGTGGAGCGTTCTCGTGTAAACGTGACCCGGGACAATTTAAAAAAAAGATCTGCAGAAAGCCCTGAAGAAAGATTTTTTTAGTTTGAACAGAAAGGTAAACATCTGGACTCACAGTTGGTGAGGTCGGGCGGGGCGAAGCTGTCGTTCATGAAGACACTGTTGGGTTTAGCCACTTTCAAGTAGACCACGTCAGGAGTGTTTTTCAAGGCAGTGACGGCGTGTTCGTGGCTCACCTCCTCCAGGCAAGCACTGTTCACCTGGAAACAGAGAGGGGAGGAGTCACACACACACGCTGCTACACACGGCAACGTGCTCTTTAACCTCAGAAGTTCAACACACAGTCACACATTGTTTTTAAAGGTAAAACACTGTTTGATAAAAGCAGGATCAGCTGTTACATCACTCTCTTCAAAGTCACTTTAAAACTCAGAACAGAGGAGTCGCTGCTCAGACTCCAAGTGTTTAAAAAATCCATCGAGCACATCCGGAGAATCTTAGCAGATCTTCTTCTCTATAATCTCAAATCTCTCACACTACATGATGTGAAAATCATGACACATCACAGACTACAGGAGGTTATTGAGATGATCGTGCCCAGCGGAGGAACGCAGCACCTCATGTGACCTCATGTAAACAACGGAGCTGGGGGTTAAATTTCTGATTTGAATGCTTTTGAGTGGAGAGGGAAAACATTGAAAATTAGTTTAGGTGGAGAAACGTCTGTTCCTCAGGTCAGATTTTAACTGAATCTCAGGTGTCCAGCTCACACCTGTAAGGGTTGCGTCTTGCCGCTGGTCGCCATGACTACCATCCTCCCTTATCACTCGTGGTGATTGTAGTCACGCACGACTTCCTCCAGACCCTTTTCATGACGTAATCGTCAAACGTGTTTGACATAAATCGGGACGAGGTCGTTAAGATCGGATCTTTAAACGACTCAAATTTCAAAGCTTGATCCAAAATACATCTGGACCTGGTTCAAGATCTTCAACTGAGTCCAGTTGTATTTTGATCAAGTTTCGACTTTACCTGGAGGACTGAGAACTGTACTCAGACTTTAGACGACTCGCACTACAAACTGTTCTGGGCAGATGTTCAGTTCTGAGTAGCCTCGAGTCTACAATTCTATTACAATTCTACAATTCACTTAGCAGACTCTTTTATCCAAAGCGACGTACATCAGAGAGGAAGAACAACACAAGCAAGGATCTAGAAAAAAGGGAACAATGTGAGTAAGAGCAAACGATCAGCTTTGAGTCTGATTGGACACACAGGTGCTGACAGGAAGTGACCAGAGGCAAAGCACAACATTGAGGGCAGTTCTTGAGAGCTCTAATCAGTATAGAAACCATCTTATAAGTCATCGTTATCAAACAAAAACCATCGTCATTACCATCATCATCATCAATAATATGGAGACCATCATCATTAAGTTAGTAGGTATTCATGAAAGAGCTGGGTCTTTAGCTTTTTCTTAAAGGTGCAGAGGGACTCTGCAGATCACATGGAGTTTGGAAGTTTGGGAGTCGGGAAGGAGGAATCGGACCTCAAATCATCTGAAGTCTGAACCAGGCGGCAGATTGTTTTTTCTTTCTCGTGTGTCAAAATAGATAACGTGTTGGTAACAAACATCAAAGATCGAACAAGAACACTTGTGTGGTGTCTTTGTAGCGAGTGATGGAACAGCTGGTTATAAAATCATCTTCCTCTTGGATTTGAGATATATCCACCCTGTATGTTAAAAATTGGTAGGAGCGCTTACAGCCAGCAGTTTGTCTCCGATCTGCAGCCTCCCGTCTTTATGTGCGGCTCCTCCTTCGATGACCTTGGTGACGTAGATGCTGTTGTCGCCCGGGATGTGCTGGTTCCCCACTCCGCCTGCTATACTGAAGCCAAGACCTGCAACACACCCAGACCAGGAGGAACCCACGTCAAAACAAGGGCGCCAAAACAAAAGCATCATCAGGACCTGAAAGGAACCTCCTAGTTTAACGCTTTGAAGTGTCACCTTTGGGTCCTTTCACCAGTTTGATCTCCATCACTTTCTCCGAGACCGGTTTCCTCCTGCGTACGTAGAGCCGGACCAGAGAGCCCGCCTCCTTCAGAGCCTCCACGGCTCGGCTGTGGGTCACATCCCGGACGTCGGCCTCGTTCACTCTCAGGATCACATCGTTCACCCTGAAACATAGAGAGGAAATCACCTCAAACCTCCTGTAATCTTTAGGTACTGTATGATCTATCAGAAGGTTTATTTTATTATTTAAGGGCCATGTGTCCACAGATAGCAGTTTATTGTTTTAGAAGCGGCCGCGTAAAAGGAGAAAGAAGAAAGAAGTGACTCATGGAAGTGTGTGAGTCGAGCTTTCAGTCAGACTCATGATGTCTCACTGATGACTGACAGGCCAACAAACAGGGTTCAACCTGAGACCTCATCATCACCTGGATCAGGTGAGTCAGACTCTGCTGGCTGCTGAAATATGAATGAAGCGGTGAAAGCTGCAGGACGCTGCGGGGGGGCGGGGGTTCTGGGTAACGGACATTTAATCTCCCTAAAAGACCAATGGAATCCAAAACTTTCTGAAACTTTCAGACTGTAACGTCTGCAGCAGGTAAACAGACTGTAACGTCTGCAGCAGGTAAACAGACTGTAACGTCTGCAGGTAAACAGACTGTAACGTCTGCAGCGGGTAAACAGACTGTAAGGTCTGCAGGTAAACAGACTGTAACGTCTGCAGCAGGTAAACAGACTGTAACGTCTGCAGGTAAACAGACTGTAACGTCTGCAGCAGGTAAACAGACTGTAACGTCTGCAGCGGGTAAACAGGCTGTAATGTCTGCAGCGGGTAAACAGACTGTAACGTCTGCAGGTAAACAGGCTGTAACGTCTGCAGCAGGTAAACAGACTGTAACGTCTGCAGGTAAACAGACTGTAACGTCTGCAGCAGGTAAACAGGCTATAACGTCTGCAGCAGGTAAACAGGCTGTAACGTCTGCAGCAGGTAAACAGACTGTAACGTCTGCAGCGGGTAAACAGACTGTAACGTCTGCAGCAGGTAAACAGACTGTAACGTCTGCAGCGGGTAAACAGACTGTAACGTCTGCAGCAGGTAAACAGACTGTAACGTCTGCAGCAGGTAAATAGACTGTAACGTCTGCAGCAGGTAAACAGACTGTAACGTCTGCAGCAGGTAAACAGACTGTAACGTCTGCAGCAGGTAAACAGACTGTAACGTCTGCAGCGGGTAAACAGACTGTAACGTCTGCAGCAGGTAAACAGACTGTAACGTCTGCAGCGGGTAAACAGACTGTAACGTCTGCAGCAGGTAAACAGACTGTAACGTCTGCAGCAGGTAAACAGACTGTAACGTCTGCAGCAGGTAAACAGACTGTAACGTCTGCAGCAGGTAAACAGACTGTAACGTCTGCAGCAGGTAAACAGGCTGTAACGTCTGCAGCAGATGTGTCTCACCTGAGCCGCCCGTCCTGTGCAGCCGCTCCTCCAGGTATGACTTTGGTGATGAAGATGCTGGGGTCTTCACCAATGTGGGGGTTGTCCGTCCCGCCGGCGATGCTGAAGCCCAGCCCTGAGTTCCCCTGAAACCAGGAAATGAAAACAAACAAGAAACAGGAGAGAGAAAAGGAAACAGGTGAGTCATTAACCATCTACTTTTCAGGAGACTCTCTGAGATTCCTCTGCCCAAATGGACTAGAGACACATATTATCTCAGCGTTTTCGGCTTGTTGAGCATGACCTATTTATGTTTTCATTCATTGTCAACACATTTCTGTGCAGACTTAAACCGACAAAATGTTTGTCTATTAATAGTGTCTGAATTCTTGTCTTTAGCTCTCAGCTCATTGGTTCCTCCTAAAGATGCTGACATGTTAGCCCGCTCGCTGACGTTTAAATCAAACCCTGAGGAGAGAAATGTGCCTTTCTGATTCTGTGGTACTATTTTCAGCAGCGGCGGATTCATCCATAATTGGGCCAACGGGAGGAATCATCTCACACCTACACAGCCTTTCAAAGTTTATTAGTTTACATATAAAGAAGAAACAAACTCTGCAGCCTGAGGCCTGAAAGCCTTCAGACAGACAGGCTGCGTTTCTGCAGGACTCAGCTGGCAGAGACGCTTTTTATTCATGCTGCACTGACTTTTATTTTCACTTGAAGAAGCACGGCGGAATTAGGACAAGAAAAGAAAAACAACAGGAAGATGATGAAGAAGAAGAAGAGCTAGTCCGGGGTTAGAACACAGCTGTACTTCAGAGGAAATGGAATAGCAGAGGTTTTAATTGTCACACTTCTGGAGATGTTTTTAGTTTTCTGAAACAGCTCAAACACATGAGCGACGACGCCCACTTTGTCCTCGTCTCTGCAGGTTTCTCACACATTTGGACATTTTTCAAAATAAGAAGACATGAGTGTGTCCTCTGAAGTTTAAAAGTCACACATAAAAAAAAGCAGTGCGTCAAAGCTACACACGACGTGCTGCCAGCAGTGTGGGCAGAGTGACCCTCTGAGTTATGATCGGGCGCTATGCTGACGACATGGCGGTGATTCAAAGTGAAATAAAAAAAATAAAAACATGACGGCTGCTTGTCCTCTTACCCTCTCCAACGTGATCTCCTCGTACTCATAGTCAGCCTCCGTCCCGTTCACCTGCACAAACAAGACACAACATTTAGGAGTTTATTACCTGTCAGGACTCTTTCATAAAACAACAGAGACAACAAAGAAGAACGCCTGTAACCAAGAGATATGGACGCCGTACACACTGCTAGAGATTTTTACACGTGTACAAAACTCCTCAGGAGGAACGATTTCTCCTGACAGCAGCCTATAGTTTGTTCTGCTGAAAGTCTGAGAGAACTGATGTGAGAAAGCAGCAGGACATACTCAGGAGAACTCGACTGTTTAAAATGGGTACTGCAGTCTAAATTCTAAACATCATAGAGAGCTGTCCCCCCCCCCCCCTCCTCTCTAGACTTGATGCTCACTCAGGTCACCATGTGGTGGACTCTGAAGCTTCAGTGTTTATCCAGCTCTGCATGGGTCTGTAAACCTTTCTGTGTTCTAACCTCTCTCCATTTTTCAAAAGCATCTCCAATATTGATCCTAGTTTGAGCACGTTTCTGCTCGTGGAGCTTATTAGAAACATGCAGAGGCTTTTTAGGTCGGGTACAATCACTTCTATCTGAGCCACTTCTCTTGACCGCTTCCATCGCTGCAACACCTGTTGACCTGATAACTGCTCTCATATCTGACAAACCGAGGGGTGTCCAAAACAGCCATGTGGGGCGTGTCTTTAAAGCGCCTACCTTCTCTGGTCCAAACAAATCCAGAGCATTCAGGAGCAGAATCTAAAGTTAGAAGGAGGACATACTGGCTGCTGCATTGTTGTCAGAGAAGCCAGCACTTCAACATAGCATGTTTCCTTAATGTCTGATCATATAGTAAGATACCTTTATCATCTCACTCTCTACACATGTCACTGATTGGACCTTTAATGATGTGAAAGCAGAGCCGGCGAGAGTAAGCCGCTTTGTCCCACATCGCCTTTTCTTATTCTCTTCAGTAAATTAAGCTGGCAGAGGATAAAGCCGACCTCACTAACAGCAGCCAACATCTCGAGTATCACAGAGCCAATCAGAGGCCGGCCAGATGTTTAGTCTCTGTCTCGGATTTCATTCAGCGAGGTGAAATAAGTGTTTTTGTCAATGGAGTGCGCTGGCAGTGAGGGTGTTTCTGTTCAATGAAAGCATCTTAACCTTTAACAGAACGGATCCCTACAACGATAATTATGATGCAAGATATTCATCAAAACTGAGAAAACAGGAAAATGAGGACGATGTCATGTTTTAAACTGTCATCAGTTAAAGGATGAAGTGTTTCCTCTCTACTTTCTTTGCACTCTTTCACTTTCATTTCAGATCTTGTGATATAAAAAAAGAAAGGTTGGGACTCGTAATAAAGTAACGACGCTCCTCTTTCAGGTCATTTCCGGACACAAAGTTGGAATATTAACGGACGAAGCCTGAGTGTCATCACCCGTCTGTTCCTGCAGGGGGCGCTGGAGTCCCATCGATGGCGGTCTCCATGCTGGAAATGCTGTCTCAGTCTAACTTTCAGTCAACCTAACAACAGGCGGAGAGCTGGAGCTGAGGCGGGTTTTAAACCTCCTGACAAACCGTTACACCGCGCCCACCTGTCAATCAGGTCAGCTACACGTTTGATGATATTTCTAATGCAAATAAGAGATTCCAGGAGTAAATAAAACACAGAAACACTCTTTAAAGGCTTTCTATGTGATTTCACACTGAAATGTAATAGAAATCAAGTATATCCTATAAGCATGCTAACACAACAATACAGCGCGAGTTGGTGTTCAAGGGGCGACATCTGCTGGATCAAAAAAAATCACATATAAAGCCTTTAAACTCACTGCTGCAGAAAGAAGGAAAGCTCCTGCTATCAAAAGTTTACATTTACAGGTGATGCAAAGACGTGCATGTGTGTGTGTAGACTCACATAAGGAGGCGTGTCCAGGCTGTCTGTGTTGACCACCACAGGGGGGGGGTTGGCCTGAGGAGAGAGAAGACACGGTGTCAGAGAAACATCTGCAACAAATACCCCTCAGCATCCAGCCTCCCACACAGCTCCACCCCCTGCAAACACACTCTGAACACAAAAACAAAAAACAAAAAGCCAGCGCTGACATTAAACGAGCGTCCTCATGCCACCGCAGACCAACTGAGGACAGCACAGGAAGCCGGTGGATTTGAGGGATTAGCGAGCACAGAGAGCTACGTACATGGTGGCATTTCACGCTGCAGAAGATGCAATGCTGAAGCATGAAGCCCGAATCAATTAAATCAAGTCCTGCAGGATGGAACGAGCGGGCTCCTTCACCTCCTCCTCCTCTTCTTCTTCTTCTTCTAGCTTTAAATCCAAAATCCCTGACTCGCTCGCTCACTCATTCTCTTTCCTGTCTGCCTCGCTCGCTCGCTCAGTTTCTGCCCGGGAGGAGCCAGATGGGCTCTTTAAAGTCATGTGGGGGGAAGTGTGGCATTTCTCCCACTGTCTCTAATCTGCTCACTTCATCAGAGCCACAGCTGGACGGCACACATGGAGCCATGCAGAGAGACACAAATCTATGGATAGATGGATGGATGCAGAGAGAGAGAGGGGGGGGGGGGGGGGGGAAGAGAGAGAGAGAGAGGGGAGAGAGAGAGAGGGGGAGAAAGAGAGAGAGAGAGACAGAGAGAGAGAGAGAGACAGAGAGAGAGAGAGAGAGAGACAGAGAGAGAGAGAGAGAGAGAGAGAGAGACAGAGAGAGAGACAGAGAGAGAGAGAGACAGAGAGACACAGAGA